TCCATGCCCCATGAATTCATAGATAAATGAAAGCATCTTTATAATGGTCATCATCAGTGGTTCTGAGGATATAGTCTATCAATCCTTAGGGATCTTTAACACACTCTGAAAAAAAAAAACAGCAATGTCTAAATGTTTTAATAATAGTTCCATAAGGTTACATGGATGTTCCTCTATGGCAAAATTTGAGTGAGTATGTAAAAAGTGGTTGGGAACGTGCCACCACCTCTGTGGGATTGAGTGGTGATTCTGCTGGACTGGCGGACACTGTGTCCTTCACAGAGTAGTATCCACAGCCAAGGAAAACAAGTTCCACCTGAAGAATGTTACACACCGACCAGTGAGTGTAGTCTGAGCTGTGGGTACAGTATTCGTAGGGTTTGGTGGGAGGAATGGAAAGAAGGGATACACAGAGTCCTATGTCACAAACTACATTGGGATGCTTACCCTAAGTAAAAGCTCTCTGTTATCATCTAGGCTGCGAAGTGAACTTCTTCTATGGGATATGATTTTTATTTGAAGAGTGACTAAAAGACAAATTAATCTTTTTTTCCAGAAATATGTTTGTCAGATATATTGTTGAAAATGAAGAAAGTGAGTGTGTATCACTTCAAAGGAAAACTAATAGTGTTTACTCCTTAATGACAAAATACAAAATACAAAATGGAAGGTGACAGAATGGAAACTTGAACATTGTCCTCTACTATGAGCTTGAAGGAAACCCCATGTTATGAAAAATTTCCTATGAAACTGGTGGTGATACCAACAAGGGTGATTTGTTGTTGTGCAATGCAATGTGTTAACATTTCAAAAGTGACACAACTCAGTGAATCAACACTTCCCAATTGGTCAATGCATAACATATAACATGACAAACTCCTGCATGAGTAGCAAACTCAACACACAAGACAGACCAAAGGAATAGGGATTCCACAGCACATGAAATTCATTGCTATCTTTTCAGTTGCTGCATTCCAACTTACTTTTAAGAAAATAACACTTGCTAAGTTTGAGTTTTGAATAAAAGGAATATACCCACAATTTTTTTGTATAAAATACAAAGTTTCTCTCTTCTCTTTTCAAATCACATATGAGTAGATCCACATTTTTCCTCCATTTAAAAGAATTATACAGTGTAAATAATACCATTCTCATGAAATATTTTGTCATTTGGGGAAATATAGTTTTATTCCTAGAAAACTATATATGGTGACAAATAACAGATTTATTATTATTTTAATGAATTGATATCATTTTTTAATTTCTCAGTTTTAATCTGTCACATAATAAATCGTGATAGAAACAACCTACATAAACAGAGTTTTCTAAATCTTTAAATTTTTCAATGGTAAAAAAAATTCTGAGAATGAAAAAAATCTGACAACTATTTTTAAGTTAAAGTTGACTTACTGGGTTAATAACAACCTCTGGAAATCGAAAAGCAAGACCTTAAAAAATGAGGACCTAGATTTTTAAGGAAGGTGTTCAGATCTGTAAGTTATCTACTGAGTTGTTTACATGAACCATTCAGTGTTGCATGCTACTTACTGTTGGGCCCTAGAAAGTCAATTTTGTACCATTAAATATAGTATGATAGTTCCAACAGTTCTTGCTAATTTCCAGGCCTCATATAATGAAATATAAAAATCCAAATGGCAGAGGACAAATACTTTCACATACACGTAGTTATGTAAAAACCCTTTATAGTTGATTCTCATATGCTTAATTTATACAGGAGGAATCAACTATGAGAAAGCATGTTTACATAAGCTTTTAAGTTACAAGAAAATGAATAGTAGAGCCTGGATTTTAATATAAAATCCTGGATATTTACCCCATCCTAGATTCCTCTCTCAAGTTTATTAGATTGAAGTTGATAAGGACTCTATTTTGATTAATCTATTTTTCACAGATAGATGAATGCTACCTATTCTATCTTATTGAACAAATTATGCAGTGACATAGTTATCAAGTATATTATATGAACATGTGATATACTTATTTTCTCATTCTTAATACACATTGAAATGTTAGGCAACAGAAAATACTTATGGAAATATGTAACATGCTCTTCCAATGAAACCTTGGTGTCCTTTTGTTTTGTCAGTACTGGGCAGTGAATTCAGGTCCTTTTGCTTGCTAAGCAAGCATGTGCTACTACTTGAACCATGCCCCCAGCCCGGGTGGCCTCTTTTTGTCTGAGCCTCTAATCACTGTAATTATGTCACACATGGTATTTATGTCTCTTTCTCATTAAAGCTGTTAGTCATGTGTTCCATTAATGGCCACTTTAAAAAAAAATCAAGATGAAGCTATTAAAGTAAGTGGAGGAAGATGGCAATTATATGAATAGCTAAAGCCAATAAATTTGGAGTATAAATGACTTTTAGAACTTTCCTGGGATCCATTCATGTGAACTAAATGCATTACTTTACAACAAACATCTGATGGAATGTATTTTATGATATGGGCTTGATAGCAATACTAAGTCTAGACTGAAAGATAATAAATTATTTGTTTCATATAAAAAAAAACTGAATCTAAGCAAGAAACATCAACAAAAAAGAGCTACCCTTAGAGATTAAAATGCACAGGCTCCAAGAAATTAAAGTTTACAGTATCAGAATCCAGGTTATATAAAAAAACTAGGATTGTAATAAGTTGACTCATTTATATACAATATATCTCCTTTTATGGCACACATGAACTTTTACAGTACAGTTTAGGCCTCATTGGTAGTAAATATGCAATTATGGAGAAAATTAAGAAATAAGAGAAGCTGGATTTAAGGTTATTTTTTATTATTATATGTTGTGCTGTATTGATTTTTTTAATTTCTATGTAGATTCTCTCTAGGTTTCTCAAGGCTAACTATATCTATCCATATATTTATATTTACTTATCTATGATAAAGATATTCATACACACATTTTAATATTATTAATATTAACATACTTATATTTTCTCAAGCTTTGTATCAAATGGATTCAGTATCAAGGTATACAACATTAAAGGGATAATCCTTCTTCTCAGTGAACATGGGAAATCATGAAAATTAAAATATCAACTTCAATTGAGAGTATATAGTTGAAACATAAAGTTTAAACTCCTACTCTGAAAATATTCTATGAAAAGTATTGCTTGGTGAGGTAAAGTAATACATTCAAAGCTATACAGCTGAAGTAATCTGTATCACAAAATGATTTGACTCCAGACCAGGACTTACTGAACTGTGTTTATTCGTATTTCACATGAAAAAGCAAGTATACATTAACTCATGTGTCCGCAAGGGGCTGACCAAATGAGTAGCAAGGTCTCAGCATGGTGCACACATGTTCATCCACGTCTTCAAAGGAGACACATGCAAATGTATTTTAGTAGTGTCTGGGGTGTCTATGAAACACTTTCTTGCTGAGATGATCATATCCTTTATCATGAAAAGGATAAAAGCAATACTGAACAAAACAACCCATGGTTAACACAATTTACCTATGAGTTATCTATTTTGAAGGCAAACACCTAAAAAAATAGAATTAAGTATTCTTTTGAAGTTTCCCTCCTCAAAACTACCGTTAACTTTCCACAATGGAGAGTATTTATTTCCCATGCTTATGACTAAAAAGCTACAAATATGCGCACACATAAGCACATAAAGGCTGAGTTATTTCAGAATTGGAGTGAACATGAGCAAACCAAAAGCAAAACAAAACTTATTCTGGTTGTATTTAGATTTTTACTTCTAAAACAGCAACACCAGTACACTTAGAAATGAGGTCTCATTGTTTTTCCATGCAACAGTGATCCTCAAGACTTGGATTCAAGACAACGGCATTGTAGTTCCTCCTGGAGTTTCTACACTGGACAGCAAGCCGAGACGATGCAGTGGTCTGCATCTTCACACCCTTCTTCGCAGAACTACATGTCTATTAAAGAATACTGAAGACAAGACAGAAGAGGATCCAAACTCCAAGCGGGTTTCTGAGATTGAAAACATGGAGGGTCATTGCCATCTTCCGCGGGCTTTACAGGATCTGCAATCCCCTAATTTCTCTACCCAGCTATCCGGCCTCCTCCTCTCCAGGGGGTGGGGAAAATCAGTTGTAAATAGAGGTAGGTTCTGAACTCTAAGCCTTGGGGACAGGAGGAGATTGAGGAACAGGCCCCCTCCACTGCCACTGCGTTCGTCAGGGTTTTTGTTTTGTTTTGTTTTCAAGAACCGCTCTGATGTTAAACAGGTCTGCTGAGTGGGAACACTGCAAAGCTAGTGTCCCGTGTCTCCGATGTGGGAAACTGAGACTGGCAGGCCCCGAAGAGGGACAGCTCCTCTCCAGTTTATTACAGCAGAACGAGAGGGAGAGGGTGCAGGAGTTGAAGGATCTCTGGGGTTGGGCCCAAGCCAATAGCTTTTCCATCCGATTGTCAAGGAGAAAGAAGGTAAGGAAAAGCACGAAAGCAGTATTGAGTGATCCAGCCCCCTTTTCTTCTGCTTGCCTTATTGCTGCTAAGGAACTGCCTGCCGTCCCCCCCCCCCCACTACATCCCCCCTTACAACTCCTGTCCTCCTTCTCCCCCGCTCCCGCCCCGTTGGCTGTCTTTCCACCAAGAGTCCTGAGCGAGGAGACAGACTCCTTGGATTGCTTTGCGCAAGATCCACCACCGCTCTCTCCTCCCTTCTCTCCCAGCCTCCGGATCCCGCCTCCCTCCCTCGCTCCCGCCCGCCCTCCCGTGCGCCCCGGCGGCGGTGCGGGGCTGGGCCGGGCCTCGGTGTCCTACTCGGGTGGGAAGCGGGGGCTCCAAGCCCAGCTTCATGTCAGATGCCCGGCTCGCCCCGGCTGCCTGACGCGCGCCTCTCCGGTTCCGCCAGGGTTTGGCTCAAGAACTAGCGGCTGCGGGGAAAGGAGGCTGCCGAAGCGCCGAGAACTCTCCAAGTGCCCGACGCTCCCAGGTCCGACCCCGCGCCCCGCTCGGGTTCCCGATCCGCGCCGCAGGCCGTCAGCACCATGGACAGCAGCATGGTCCCCGCCGACGCCGGCAACTGCTCCGACCCCTTCGCGCCGCCGTCCGGCTGCTCTCCAGCCCCGAGCCCCGGCTCCTGGGCCAACCTGTCCCGTTCCGAGAGCAACCTGTCCGACCCCTGCGGTCCCAACCGCACGGAGCTGGGCGCGGGCGACGGCCTGTGCTCCCCGGCCGGCAGCCCCTCCATCGTCACGGCCATCACCATCATGGCCCTCTACTCCATCGTGTGCGTGGTGGGGCTCTTCGGAAACTTCCTGGTCATGTATGTGATCATCAGGTAAGGAAGCCTGCCCCGGGGCTCTGAGCTCAGCGGTTCCAAGGCGGGGGTGGGAGGATGGGGGGGGAACCAGGGGACCCCCGGAGCCCAAGGCGGGAGGATGGAGGAGCCGCAGGGAAAGTAAACTGGGAGGTGAAGTGGTCGCCGTGTGTATGTGAGCAACGACTTTCTTGTTCGCTTTGGGAGGGGGGGTGTTCTCCTCCACTCTTCTCTTGAGAAAGAATCCAAAATTCCCCAAGCAGAGAAGTTTGTTTACTGAAAGCCATAAAGATCTGGACAGAGGAAGGGAAGAAAAGATGTCTCGGGGATGTCCCTTACTCCCAGACAAGGGGGTTCTCAGGACCCTCTCCTACCCTGGTCCCTTTGCTCCAGCTGGGGAAACAAGAGGATAATGAGGAACGGGGTGGGTGGGGATTCTAGTTAGTTTTCCCTAATTGAGGGGCAGTGTTTCTCGGTTGCTTTTAGACATGAGCCTGGCCAACTTTCTTCCACCTGCTGGTTTAGGATGTACCACAGCCCACCCCTTCTCCTCCCTTGTCAGAGGAGCTTTTAACCCACTCTTCCGTCCACAGTGAGGACAGCCCAGGGTAGGGAGTTTTCTTGATGTGCATCCATGGCAGTGCTGTGTAGCAAACTGGACCCTGTGGCTGCTTAGACCAGTTTGTAGTTGGAACTCGGTTGCAATCTGCATCTGAAATTGGTGGGGTGGAGGCCTCCAAAAGTTGGAGTGAGTTAGGAAAGAAAGGAAGGAGGAAGGGGAGGATGAAGAAGGAAGGAAGGAGAGGAAGAAGAAAGAAGGAAGGGAGGGAGGGAGGACCAAGGAAGGAAGGAAGGAAGAAGGGAAGGAGGGAGGGAGGAAAATGAAAGGAAAGGGGGAAGGAGAGATCTACTTAAATTACTTCGAAGAAATTGCAGTTCACTCTCTTTTTGCTCAAATAGCCTAGTTCTGGATGAATTTGACAAAGCAGACAAGTTCTCAATATGGATGATGGATGTTGATTGTGATGGCATATATGCATATATATTCAAATGCTGCTTTTGTTAAAGTGGATAGATTTTTTTAACTTTTTAAGATTGCTCCTAATTTGAGTTTTTCTTTAAGGGTGATGTGTTCGAAGTGAACATTCACTCTCGTGTTTATGTACAATCTGTACTTCACCTATTCCACCATTATTATGGGTTTTGATAAAGTTCGCCAATCATCATTTCCCCATTTTGATTATATTATCAAAGTGCTGCAAATTGCTTATAATTGTTCTTTTGGCTCATACGTCTTATTTCTTTAATTAATGGTTGTTAGAGACTAAAGCTAATTCCCCTAATCTTGTGATGAGGAATAAGATCAGTAGTCTCCGAGAAAATAGCAAACAGCGCCATCTACTGAGAGGAAGGCTGATGACATGAAGAAAATTACAGGAAGAATTTTCGAAAATTTATTTTCTGTAATCTAATACAAAGATTCATGATAGTGATAGAGATTAAAAAGACAAGTTTCATACTGTGGTTGTGTCAACAGACCTTATAATTAAACATTGGCTTTTTGAAGGGAAAAAATGTATTTACCACTTTCTTGAAAAAATTTATAGTGTTATGAACTGGAGCAACTAGAAGGGAACAGAGGTTATATGTACTAGATTAGTAAACCAAGGCCCAGAAACTATAAACACACTGTCCACAAACAGATACCTTGTAAGCTCAGTATCAGTGAATCTCTTTTAGAGATTCAAAGTTGTTAGGGTAGCAGGTCATAATATAAATTAACGTATTAGACTGACAGATGGGGCTTAGTTTGCAGTAATCATTCCCAACAAACAAATGACTCCAAATTTATGTGTGGAATCAAAGATGTTAAAACAATGAAACATGAATTACCAGCGCCTAGAAACCCTGCCTTGTGAAACACAGTCTTTTTATCCCTTTTATTACTTCTCTTTGGCATTATTCCCTCCTCATTTTTCTCAACTTCAGTTCATGTTTTTCTATAAATAGAGATGCAGCAAAGCAGTAACTGGCTGATAAATAAGCAGTTTGGTCTTATTCCAGTGGTTAGGAGATTGCTGGCTGGGCAAGACAGTTTTAAAGGCATTCCTGTTGACTTTCCATTTGCTTGAAGAAGCAAGGTGACACTGTATCTCACAGAGAACATGCCATTAGGCTTTCTGTTCTGTACCCTAAGTCCTGATGCCATGGAGTGCCGGTGGAAAGGTCACCCCAAACACCCACCTGCGGCCTGTGGCAGACGGAGGTTCAATTCTAAGGTCAGAAAACTGCCTGGGAAGGCAACTATGACAGAACAACAGATGGTTCTGTGACAAATGAAGGGATGGGAACGCATCAGAGGACTGATGCTGAGGGTATTGAAAGTGGCGGTCTAGGAAGTAATACTTACATTGCTAAATGATCAGCCCAGGGACATTGTGGCTTCTGTTTAGAAAGATGGGTGTGACACTGGGGCCAATTTCTTTCCATTTTTAAAGATGCAGATAATGCTACTCAATGGTCCGGTAAAGTTTTCTAGCCAGTTCAAGATAACATTGATTCGAATGTCTTAGTACACTGAGTGAGTCATGAGGGGTAGATGATTATAGCAACAAAAATAACTGTCACTGCAGGTGCTGTGATTAATACTTCTTTGTCTCCCAATGCCACCACCATCTCACCTTCATGAACAATGCGTTAAACAAGTGGAATTCCTAAACAATGCTGTCCTAAAGCAAAAGTGATACCGTCAGACTGTTAGATCTGCAGATGTAAAGCCTACATGTTAAAGGATAGAAATGTTATACATAACCATCACCTCCACATGTTTGTTTTTTATTATGGTTAAGTAGCACTACATATAGGTTCCAATTCAACATGTCAGCTTATAGGACGATGCATCCTGACCGATGCCATCATGGCAGTCTACGTACGTATATGATAATGGAAGCAGGTATTAGATGGGAGGCGGAATGATGGAAGGGGTGGCATTGAGCAAAGTATTTTTTGCTCTAAACAAAAGAAGTGGTTTCAGGACAAATGTACAAACTACAAAGATTTGACAAAATATGGTAATAGAAATATTGCAAAAACTAACAGTCATTTTCAAGAGGACGATGCTGGTTCTCAACAGAATTGGCTATCAAAAAAAAGAGCATTTTAAGATGTTAGATGTTGTTGGCATTTTTCTTCCTCAAAATATATTGCTGGTTTTGGAAAAGGGTTTGGTTATCTGATACTGCCCTATATAATTAATAAAGTAATCATGAGATCGAAGTGTGGCAAGTACAAGACCTAGAGTTCAAACTCCAGCATTCACACACACACACACACACACACACACACACACACACACACACAATCAAATACAGTCTAATCAGAAGTAGAAGAGTTTTTTATTAATTTAAATGATTTTTATTGTTATTATAAAGATGATAGAGGGACTACAGTTACATAAGTCAAGTAGGGAGTACATTTCTTTTTGAACCTCCTCCCTTGTTTTCTCCCAGTTTTTTTTCCCTTCTGACCCTCTTCCCCTACAAATTGTAAGTTCATTTTCAGCACAGTGTCTAGTGAGTTTCACTGCTGTGTTTGTTCAGCCATTGTCTCACCATTTCTACGGTATAAGAGTTTCAGAATCATTTTAGAAGTTACTTTTACCTCCTTGGGCTACATAAGCTGTGGTGATCACTTACACATGCTGTTATACTTGAGTTTTCTACACTCTTCTCTATCTTTTCTTTCCTTCTCACATTTTATATTTTAATAAGTCGCCCCTATTAAAAACTAATTATGACAGTTTTTTTCCATGGAAAGCAAAATTTATATTGTGGATTGATAGCAAATCATAAGTTCAGCTACACCTATACACACAGATATACACAGGAAATAGACAGCTACTCTTAGAATGGGACTAAAGAGCCATTCAATGGTTATTCCAGAGAGTTTTCATTATTCATCATAGTTGTAATCTTTAATGTGATGGGACTTGCTGAAGTGCGAGTACTGAAGCTTTCCTCCATAGGGAAATATAAGACTGGGTTGCTGCAAGCCTCAGGTTGGAAAATAATCACCAACTAATCAATACACAAATTGTTGCATGTTTCTTATGCAGTATTCAGGCCTGAAAGCAGCTTGCATCAGGCTTATACAACACACATGCTTTTTGTAGAAGGTCCGACACAGTATTCCAGTGTGTGGAGACACCAGACAGCACTTGAGCACAACACAGGAGACCAGTGTCCATCCGTGTGGATGGAGCTGAGGGCTGGGGATGTCTCAGAGATGGAGGGGCCAGACTGAATCACCTCCTCACTCTTCTGGGTTGGGACCACGTTGAGTGAGCTCTCCAATCTTCCAGCTTGTCACTGTGCAAGAAGGAATTTAGAAATGAGAAGAGGAATTGAGAGGAAGTTTCGCATATAGCTAAAAGACTCGCTCAAGAGGGAGTGGGTGTCTCAAGACAGTCACACCACTCAGGATTTGGGAAGGCAACGAGGTGATCTGTCACAATGACTCCATCCTACAGCTCAGAAGCAGCTGTAGGCAGCACAGAAATAAGCGGCAACAACTGCGCTCCAATGAAATCTTAGGTAGCCTCTGCAATTTGAATGTTTACTAACTTTTGTATGCCTTGAAATATCCATCTTTTGATGTTTTTTGATCCATTTTAATATGTAAGATTATCTTGAGCAGACAGATCGTGGAAAGAAGCAATGAGTTAGCTTCACCCATGAGTTCTCATTTGAGAAACACTCATGCATAATGTCCTAACTCAATTTATATTCATGCAGTAGACACAAATTATATCCACAATTGTAACATATATATATATATATTATATATACATAGATCTTATATATAAATGATATATATCATATATATAGCTTATCTTCTTAGATAATTCTGATGACATGTTATTTAACAAAGAAATGCAAAGTATTTTGTTAAAATGACCTGCCAATAGCAAGAAGCATTTTTAACCTCAGAAAATAACAAAGGTGCAATTAATCAAACCGACA